GGGTGGTAAGTAAGGTTCTGGTGAAATTTGGAGAATTTTTCTGGGATAAGGTCTAGGACAAATGGGATGTTAAGGTCATGATGTAGGGTTTTGTTGGATACATAGAAAGGAGCATCGACTATTGTTCGAAGGACTTTAGACTGGAAGGATTGGATGCGCTTGATGTTAGAAAATTTTGCTGATCCCCACAGTTCTAGTCCGTAAGTCCAAATAGGTTTCAGTATTGTCTTGTAGATCAGTAGCTTGTTTTCAATGGAAAGTTTAGATTTTCTGCTTAGTAGTCGGTATAGTTGGCCGTATCGTCGGTTGAGTTCTTGTCTTTTGAGTCTAGTATGTGGGTTCCAAGTTAGTCTTCGGTCTAAATGAAAGCCAAGATACCGGACTGTGTCTGAATAAGGAAGCTGGATGGAATTAAAGAGTACTGGTGGACAGGAATTGCGTCGGAGTGTAAAGGTAATATGTTGGCATTTAGATTCATTAACTTTAATGCGCCAGTTATTACACCAGTGCTCAATCAAGGTGAGGTGACTTTGGAGATTTAAGGATGCTATTTCGGGATCAGAGTTGGATGATAAGATTGCGGTGTCGTCAGCGAATGTTGCAAGAAAAGTATCGGGATGAACAGGGATGTCAGCAGTAAAGAGGATGTAAAGCACGGGACCCAAGACGCTGCCTTGGGGAACACCGGCTTTAACGGAGTAGATATTGGAAAATTCTGTTCCACAGCGAACTCGAAAGGAGCGGTCAGAGAGGTAGGATCGGAGGACTAGGTACAAGGACTGAGGTAAATGGATTTTAAGCTTGGAGAGCAGTCCGGAGTGCCATACCCGGTCAAATGCCTGTGCAATGTCCAGAAAGGCACCCGAACAGTATTCCTTGTTTTCTAGGGCTGAGGAAATATGATCAACAACTCGGAGCCCTTGTTGAACAGTAGAATGTTGAGAGCGAAAACCAAACTGATGGGAAGGGATATTTTGGGATTCTATAATGGGTAGGATTCGTTTCAAAAGGATCTTTTCAAAAATTTTTGAAAGGATTGGGAGTAGGCTGATTGGTCTATAGGATGTTGAGCTATTGAGAGGTTTTCCTGGTTTTGGGAAAAGGATAATAGTGGAGTGTTTCCATAACAGAGGGAAGTGGGTGGTGCGTAGGATACAATTGTAGATATATGTAAGGAATATGACTGCTTTGGATGGAAGTTGTCGAAGGATTTGAGGTGTAAGGAGATCATGTCCAGGAGCTTTACGGAGGATTAGTTTTTTTAATTGAAATTTTACTTCGGAAGGATGAATAGCTTTTGGGGGCAAGGAAAGTGGGATTGGTGATGTAAGGAGTTCTTCTACTGTTACGGTGTGGGCAGGATGGGATTCCGGATGTGAAATAAATGTATTGGATAGGTGAATGGCGAACTCCTCAGCTTTATCTTCATCAGATGCTGCCCAGGAGCCATCACCTCGTCGGAGAGGATGGGAAATGCGGTGAGGATTTAGGATTTTTGTTGTGGTTTTCCAAAGGGAATTGTCGCGAGAAGAGAGGGAGGATAGGTAGGAGTTGAAGGATTGTGATCTGAAGGTGGCTAATTCCAGTTTTAATTGTTTGCAGTAGTAATTATAGGAGCAGCGGTCGGTAGGATGTCGGGTACGTTGCCATAATAATCTGGCACGGCGTTTGGTGCGGATTAGGTTAAGGATGTGTTGGGGTAGAATGGTCTTTATAGGAATTCTGGAGGAGTCTTTTGGGAAGGAGGCAGTCCAGGCGGCTTGTTGGATTGTGGTAGTAAAGGAATTTACGGCACTATCAAGGTCATCGGGAGTTTTGAGAGATATGTTGAGATCAATATTATCGGAGATTATTTGGCGGAAAAGGTCCCAGTTTACTGGGCCCCTAATGAATGACGGTGGAGAAGGTTTGGGAACAGGTTCAAGTGAAACATTAAGGATTAGAGGACTATGGTCAGAGGAAAGTTCATTTAGACGTGTAATGGAACAATTGAGGGGACTTAAGCCGCTGTGGATAAAGAAATCAAGAAGATCAGGATTACGGTTGGGATCTGTGGGCCAGTAGGTAGGAGAGTTGGGGGAAAGGAGATGAAAACGTTGGGAATTGAGTGCAGACAGCAGGGTTCGGCCACGAGAATTCGTGGTTCTGGAACCCCATTGTTGGTGCTTGGCATTTAGGTCTGCACCCAAGATGAAGTGATGTCCTAAGGAGTCGAGGAGATAACTGAATTGAGCATTGGATATGGATCGGTTAGGAGGGCAATACGCTGATGCAAGAGTGACCGGAAAGGAGAAGGTTTTTATCACGATAGCGGTGGACTGTAGGAAATCATGTATTGGTAATGGGAGTACGTGATGGGAAAGGGATTGGTGTACAATTACAGCAGTACCGGCATGTGCTTTTCCGTCAGGGTGGTCAGTACGATATGTCAGGTATTGTGGTATATTGAAGTGCTGTTTAGTGGTTAGTCGAGTTTCAGTAATTAGTGCCACATCAATGTTCTTGTCAAGTAGTAAAGTAGATAGTTCGTCTGTATGATTTCTAACACCATTCGCATTCCAAAGGAGAATGGATATGGGTTTAGGGATGTGAGTCATTTAAGGATTTTTCAAAGGAGGGATGAGGTGAGATACGAGATTCGTGAGGAGTGATATGAGTGGAGTAACAAGGGATTTGAAATCGGTGAGGAAAGATGCTAACAAACTTGTGAGATCTGTTGCATTTGAAGGAGGAGGAATATGAGGAATTTGTTGTTGGTGGTTAGGTATATTAGGATGAAGAGGATTTTGAGGTTGGGTTTGAGGTTGTTGTTGTGGCAGGGCTTGACATTTATCGGTTAAAGTCTTACCTCTAAGTAGTTGGGAGAATGATACATCATTGTTTACAATTCTGGAAGGCTCTCTCTCTCTTCTTGTTCTTAGTGCTTCATCTTGATTCCGGTTTTTCTGGTGTCTGGTTTTGAGATTCTTGTAAATTTGGCAGCCTTTGTAGTTGGCCGGGTGTCCCTCCAAGCATAGGGCACATACTGCTGGATCTTGTATAGGTTTGGTGCACTCTACAGATTTGTGCTGTTCACCGCACTTCACGCAACGCGGCAGATGGTGGCAATATGTCTTCGTGTGGCCATAGGTCTGAAAATTTTTTTTTTTTTTTTTTTTTTTTCTCAAAATAACAAAAAAAAAAGATGTCAACAGTAAATATCAACTGCTCTGATATACACTTTAACTGTATCACGTGAATAATCAGAGAGATTCCGCTATAAAATTGGTAAAAACTGAGAGAGGAGTTGAGGAGACAACCTTCTCATCAGCTGATCCACTGCCTTCCTTTTCGTATTTAAGATAGGTATATGCCTTAGATGTGACAGCAACTTTTTCTTAAAATCGGCTAACCATTTCAGTATAAAAGATAGTTAAATATAAAATATAAAGAGAATTTTAAATTAACTAAAGGAGAAATAAGAGATCGTAACCAAGAATAGTTGTAATTGAGAAAACAAAGGAATACGAGCGCACCCAAGCTCGTCCGAATGATTAGAACACTCTTCCATACGGAACATCAGCTTGATATAATAAGGATTCAATATTATGTAAATATATATATGCAGGTTTATAGATGCTATTGTTGTATTAATTGTATAGATTAATGCGATATAAAAACTAAAATTTGTATACATAATAGTACGTATAAAAATAAAAATACCAACAATGACATATAAATTAATACAGCTTTTATAATTTTTACTTTCACTTCTCCATTGTCTGAAAATACTCATTTCTGCTATGAATAAGTGAAAGTGGTAAGTGAAGGTTGTGTTATGTGCGCACCGCACCAGATTTTTTCCGTGAACGTATTTGAGAAATTCAGTAGATTTATGTCAGAAAAATTAAATTACTTTACCGTGGTTCGGGGTCTCATATATAAACAGAAACGAAATACCTAATTGCAATGTTGTTCATCATTACACGATAAGTTAGAAGAGTTAGAAGACCCCGATAACGATCAGTAGAGTGTGTGAGCACAATTTGGTTCAGTGACTGTCCGTCTGTCTGTAGTCAAACCGATATAACGAATGCAATGCTTATCACCTATTACCGTTTATTCGATTTTCATGAAATTTTCAGGGATTGTAAGGAGTCTAGATGGCCCCAAATCAATTTTATCAAATTATTAAAATAAATAATAGTTAACAATCAACAAAGGATGAGTTTAAACGGAGAGTTCAGAGGGTTATACAACGCCGAATTGCGTGAACTTTATTCGGTTAATATAATTGAGGTGATTAACTCAGGGCGAATCAAATGGGCTTGTAAAACTGCTGGGCTTAATAACGAAAGAATTCATAAAAGGTTAATATTTGCTGTACCGAATGGTAAACGTCCGAAGAGTAGACCGAAGCGAAGGTGAGAAGATTGCGTTAAGGCCGAAGGAACTGGATTTTGACGGCGAACGGTTGAGGGAGATTGATCAGATGGAGTGGAAGTTTATGGGGTTATAAAATTTTAGGTTTTATTCAAAACGTTAATTTGTACTGTTTTGTTTGGTCGATTCCAATTTTTACTGGCATGACACTTACTGCCGTTACCATAATCTCATATAGTTTCTTTCTTTTTCTTCCAGAGTAATTATCGTTATAAATCCCCCCAAAATATTAATCCAGAATCGGTTAATGGGAAAGATTATTTGTCACTTCAGAAGACACAACTGTGCAGTAAGGATTTTCGAGTTTGTGGTAATAATGGTCTCCATCATTTGAAAGAAGTATAAGCTTTTTGATTACCATATGTTTTAAAAAGATCTATAGAAAGTCATCAGTCATGATCGTTGATGCTTATTAAATATTTATTAAAAGAACTGATTTCATCTTTAAAATAAATTATTATTCCTTGAAAAATTAATGAAAATATGTATGTTAGGAATGTATCATTACCGATATATTTACAATATATGACGATTATAGTTATATTTTTTTTACATATATTAATATAATGGTCTAGTACCTCATTTATCACCGTTTTATTTTCTTTATATAGAATTGTTACACCAAAACTCACCTGAAACACAAGAAAGAAAACATTAGTTTTTTTTTTTATGTTAAATAGTGGAGTATCTCCTCTCCGCCTAACGGCGGTCCAATCTCCATTTTACAAATTATACAAATGAAAAATCTTATCAAAGAAAGAATTTGTTAAAAAGGAGAATAGTTGAAAACACCCTGACCAGTTAGAAAAAATTATTAAAAAATAAAAAAAAATATTAAGGCGCAGTATTCGGAAACCCGCACGGCAGCAGTGTCTTGAGGACATTCCACTTCTTTTGTAAAATAAAATATCGGTCACTAAAAGCTTTTTTATAATACAGAGACAACAATATAATATATATATATATATATTTACTTAGCAGTTATTCTGACCAGATTAGTTACTATGGAGAAGAAGACATTGTTCTGTTGAAATGTATCAAAGAAGCTTAATGTGAATACGATTGTTGGATATTTTTACCCGTTTTGATTTCTCTAGGAAGTGGGGTAGCTCAGTGGCAGGGTACTGAGCTTCCACTGCTAAAGGTCCCATGTTCGAATCCCGGCTCATGGCAGAAAAATTATTTACTGGTTCATTGGTCGTGGGTCAACCCTGGGTAGGGCACACCAGTCTCTATAAAGTGGGTACCCTTAATTAAAATAATTAATTAAGGGGAAAAACCTGACAGTTGAGCGTGATCTCGGTCAAATTACTTCTCTTGCACAACCTTAGGCCAAGAAACAGTGTTTTCCCTAAATAGTACTGAACCCAAGACCTTTCATTGGTTTTTTTTTTTCTTTTATTTCTCTTGGATCCCTTACGGTCTTGTTAGAACTGGGCAGTCAGTTACAGATTCCCCCGATAGAGTGGGACTACATTCTGGGGAGCGGTTCGTTATAACTTTATTCCTTTAAGGAATGTTGACCATCTGTACTGTTGAGCAGTTGAGACAGTTCGTGATCAGAATCTAAGGAGAATTCTATAACAGGATGGGAGACTTTTTTCTCTTGTTTTTATGAATAATAATGTTTAGGTTCACTCACTAGCGGATCGAGTATTTAATTTTTTAAGAGGAGGGGAGGGCTTGAGTCCGAATGAATTTTTTTATAAATATATAAAACGATTATTACTTTGGAAAAAAGAGAAATTAATTACATACATGAAATGATGTTTCAGTGATTATGTAATTACACGAACAATAATACTTTTAGAGATTTTGTAGAAAATACAGTATGTGTTTTTATTACCTAATTAAATTAATTTATTTAATAAGCAAACGCTACATTTCTGAGAATTTTCTTAGATAAAAATTTGTAGGTTACGACAAATGAAGCCATCCACAAATTTTCAGGCGGATCTTAATAATATGATAAAAAAGGGGTCTGTACCACATTATACCATATTACGAGGAATTGCTGTTTTTAAAAATTGTTTATCTATATTTTTTTCTGTTTCCTGTCTCTTCTTTTAATATATTATTTTTCTATTTATGTGAACATAATTACAAACGCGGAACAAGCAATACCTGTTCTTCACAGTTTAATTTTAGTCGGATCGATAAGAGATGCTAGCAAATATATTTGTAAATATTTGACCGATAAAGAGGATACGACAAACTTCCAGAACGAACTATTTCCAGTTTAAAAGAGGTGGGTTTCTGGTGCAAACAAATGATAATTTTAGCAATCATTAATCGTCTTGAACAAAAAGCCTGAAGACTTAACTCTATTTTAATGCTTAAGCAAGCACACTGTTTAGTCAATAATTCCCAGCACGCAAGATCCTTTTGGCTGACTTCATTAGAATGTCCTGTACGGTAATTCCAGATTAATATTTTACACGTATATGAATGCATAAACACTATTATCATGATTTTCGTATCTTATTAATTCCTACTAATTAGCTGGTTCTAAAGAAGCGAAAAACATTTTTTTTTTTAAATACATTTCGGATTCCTTGCTGATTAGTATTTTTGTTCGTTCTTTAATTCATTAAAAAATATTACGATTTCTGTTTTTAATAAATAAAATCTGATGCGAAAAATAAAAATAATGCTTGTTAATATTTAATTATTTAAATAAATTATCGTGTCTAAAGATATTAAACTAATAAGAGGTTATTACAATCCGTTTGTATGTTAAAAAAAAACAATATATTAACTCGTAAACACAGCTTGAAATATTGGTTGGTTGATATGAAATTAAAGCGTAAAACACTTTGGCTATAAACGCCATAAATTAATTTTATATATAGTGATATCTTTTGGTAGGGAGTAATAAAAGTAAAATAAATACAGCATATATAAAAAATAAATTAAAAAAAAGTATTGAAAAATTAATGCGAAATAATGTTCAGAGATTTTTATCCCTTCTTCTTTCTTGAAATATTTTAAAAAGTACTTACACAATTCTCTTACAAAAGTACGATAAATTATTTTTTAAAACAATTCCATAACTACAATTTGACAAATTATCAATTTTTTGCCTTGCCAAGTTTAAAAATAATTGTAAATATTTCCATTTAGTTTGTAAATTTTATTTAGTCACTTTGGAAACATTTGGTTTCCGTTAAATAATTTATAATATTTCATTAATATTGCTGTTTCATTTGTTTTTATTTATTGTACATGGTGTGGTAGTACGTGGTATAGACCCCTTTTTATCGAATTATTAACATCCGCCTGAAACTTCGGAAATAGTTTCATCTCATCGTAACCTACAACTATTTTTTTTTACACTTTTGGAATTGCGGCGTTTTCAATCTGGTGGTTGATAAACTTTGTCTATTTAATTAGGTACTTAAAATTTGTAAATACTCATTTAATTTCTACTTGTATCGTAAGATAACTTGATCACAAAATCAAGAAAAAATGCGACCTTCAAAAACATCGAACCGTTTGGCGTGACCTACACCTACATCCCCAAATCTTCAAAATAACGAGGTTATATAGGGCAAACGGGCGAATGTTTTTCAGGCCAGCTTTTTTTATCGATTTTGTGATCAAATTATCTTACGATCCAAATAGAATGCAAATGGGTATTAACGAGTTTTTAGTTTCTAATTAAATAGACAAAATTGGTTCCCCTCCAGATTGAAAACGCCCCAATTCCAAGAGTTTTCGTTAATAAAATAGTAGTACAGTACGAGTTTCAGGCGGATGTTAATAATTCGATAAACAGGGATCTGTACCACGGATTATGAATGTGATCTCTAAACAATATTAAAAATGTCCTGAATTAAGACAGATTGTAATATTTCTCATTAAATAGGTATAAAAAAATTCGAAACTTTGTTTTCAACCTTGTAAAATATTTCTCTTTTTTTATTGTTTTATGAATTATCAAGTTCTTTCTTAGTTTATATTTGGCCAATTCTAACCTCAAAAGACTGCTAATTATTTCAAAAAAACAACGTTAAAGGTACTTTATAGGACACCATTTTGAAAAATTGGTATTTAATAAGCACTTAAATAATTTGCTATGTCATACTCAAATAAGATAGCACCTATGTACCTGCATACCATGCAAGGCAGTTCACAAGCTCAGGCCGTTTCAAGGAACTTGGTTTTTTGGACTTAGGAAACCTCAAAAAGTGATTTCCATTGAAAACTCGAATTCGAAAATATTCTCTTTATTATATAATTAATTTATAGGTAACAGAAAGTACATATCGTGATAGCCAAGCGTATTGAAACGTTGATCCCTTCAACATTCTCGAGTCTAACACACAAGGCTCGAATGAATCTCGACCTTCCCGCTGTGTTTTGAGTATTATTTAGTATCTCTAGAACAACCCCCTCTCCTCTCCTCGTATGCCAAAAAAGGAGAGATAGCAAATACATTTAAATATCTGTATCACCTGTGAGTGAAGTTCATTAAGTGTAATTTTGTATATTTTTAGGAGTATCACCAGAAAGCTAATTTTTCCCTCTTTCTTTGCGCCTGACGGGCTAAGATTGCGGCTATTACAGAGATAAATATTCCTTTGCGAATCATAGGATAAAATACGAAAATTGAACTTACACATGTGAATATACCATAATTGCGTTTTCCATAAATATGATTTTTGCACTTAAAGCACTATGCGCATGTGCCACAGATATATCGGCAAGCGAAGTTAAAAATTAAATAAAATTTCATTCTAGTTTCCTAGGTGATTTCTGTTTATTTTCGTCCTATAATTTAAATAAAACTATTATAGTTTCTTCTATATTTAAAAAAGTTTATATAGGTGGCTGGGAGGAAAATTTTCAGTTTTCCAGGAAAATTTAAAAATAAATCGAGGAAAATAAAAATAATTTAAATAAGAGTTTAGAATGGAGTTCCTTAGCACAGAATGCTCGGCAAGAATAGACCGGACACGCTCAAGTCACGTGAAACCGAGGACGTACTATCACAACACGCCCGCTTTCTTATCGTTGAGAATGTTGCCAATATCCTAGCAGTTATTTTATTTTACTACTCATAATAATGGAATATGATTTAAAAAAACATAAAGGCTGATTGGATTTTTTTTCTAATAATGTATTTATTAAAATATAATTAATTTTTTAAACACGAAACAAACTTAAACCAAACCTAGCCCAAAGCATTTTCAAGCTTTCCAGTTCATAGAAGAATTATCTTAACCAACTAATTTTTATTCTTCCAATTATTGTTTATATGAACAAACCTTTAAAATATTTGTATGTGTAAAAAATTCACTAGTAGCAATCGAGGAAGAAAGCTCAAAATCGATTTCGTGATGCAAGAATAGCAAGTAATATCTGATTTACCTGAATTCGCGCATGTGCAGTATTGCCATACTCATTTGTATTTTAGATTCTTTTGTTTTTTAAATAATAAATGTACACTTCCACATTTACCTATCGTAATTAATTTTACATAGTAGCTAATAAAAATTGTGTCGAATTAGAAACTGAGCTTCATACAAATATAAATCGACCTTCATTAATTTTATTTATAAATTATTTAGATTATTACTTATTTTTTCCAATTCTATAAACTTTTAAAGACTTAGATAAAACGTGTAGA